TACATCCGTTACGTGTAAGGGCCAATGGCCGTAGTTACTTGACCACTGTCCGTTTCCGGGGATTATTGGTCAGATGAACAGATAGACAAACCGCGATCGAACGAGGTTACTTCACCTCGATTAACGCAATCTCTATTTAAACACTTGAACTAATTCGTCGCTCGTTAATGGTATTTTTGCTAGTTCTGTCCCTCCTCCATCCCCCTTAATGTAGGGTGGAGAAAGCGACTAGAAGATGAAAAGCAGTATATACTACTTCTCGCCGTCTTGTGCCCTCTGCTCTCTTCTACTAATTAAATCGGAAGGTCGGCCAAGTGTTAACAGTTGGTTGTAACTAGTGTAAACTCGACTGTACGCTCCATATAACAGATTTTAATTGGGGGAGATGCGGCGATTTATTCATTGCTCGGGTAGTAGAGAGCTAAGCTGGATGAAGGAGATAAGAGGAAGCAACGAACTAGCCACATTTTTCCGCTATCACCGTAGGATATCTGAATGACTAACTGTCCACCAGGGGGTATATGTCGCTCTTATATTACAGGGACGGGCAGTTTACGAGCACGAGGTAAAAGCTATCGGCACGCGTTGCAGGAACAGGTGTCTGTACCTCACCTGACGGAGAATAATTTAATTACGCCGACTTTGTTTGAGAGAGGGTGGAGGACCACTCCTTGTCATGCCATCATTGTGGGGGTATAGCTAGCGAGTTGTCTACGGGTCAAATGTCAAATCTGGTAAATGAGGTGCGCTTAATTTATGGCGTTAAGAGCACACATCCGAATATGGTTCTCGTACTTTTGTTTTTTTTTTTTTCAACCCCCCTCGATAATTTTCGACCCGGGTCAGACAGTTGGATTATTAATGCCGAGTCGGACTTGCATCCTGATACGTCGCCGATAAGGTCTACAGCAACTAATGGCCATCTAGTGTCGTGACCTGACTACGTCACGAGTGGGTCGGCTATTTGCGAATTCTCACAGAGAGAGAGTAATGTAGAATCATGTTGTGTCTCCAGCTCTTGCCTGATAATCACAGTGTGCGCCGTGCCAGTCAGATACATATCTGTTAACTAGCTTTGCTTAATGGCATCGATGCCCCTTTCACACAATCGCCGCTTGATTTTTAATTTCAAGAATGCGAATCACATGACTTCGCCGCGAGGAATTTTACCAGACGTGTTTTTTACATTATTGTTAATATACCGTTTGAAGATAATTCCTTCCCCCTTTTTTTTTTCTTCTATTTTTATTGAATTTACAAACTTATATATGTTTGTTTCGCGATAATGGACACACAGATCTGTTTGGCCTACGCTTTGATTTAATCTTCGGCCATTATACTTTTCTAGAAAATCACGCACGGTAAGAAGAGAAGAAATAAAAAGAAAAAACTAAACAATAATTTACGCACTGTCAACGTTCTTTACACTTATTATATACAGTATACAGTTTAAGTTCAGTCATTTCATTAGAAATGGTAGAAAAGTATCTAGTAATAATGATTGCAATGGTACTGATGATTGATTCTTCAAAGCTCATTTTTTTTTTAACACTGATTTGTTGGATAAAAACTAAGTTAAGTAATGAAATAAAATCGTGGCATTACACCTTTAACGATAGCGAAATTTCTTTAGAAATCAAGGATCTACCTAGGGAAAGAGACCTCCTAGATACCAGATGGCTACTATTCCAGACTTCTTTCCCAGACAGATGGTATATGTGGGATGGTTCTACTATGAAGTCGGGTTTTTTTTTATTTTTAATCTAGCCGAACGCTAATAACCTTTTCTTTCTGACAAAAAAAGACCGAATTAAAGTTAATTTTGCATCAAATTATTTATTAAAACGATTTTTTCTTCTTTGTAACAAGAAAGAGAGAGAGAAAAAATAGCATAAAAATACTTATTATAAGTAATTTATAAATTGTTTACGTGTTATCGAACATCCCCAACTCTTTTATTTATGTATTGAAATATAAATTTAAACAATTTTAAAGTAATTTTATATTCGGTGTAATCGTTGACGAATTAATTAATAAGCGTTAAAGAAAGATAAGAGGAAAGAATATAGGAAAAATCATTAAACGGTTTTGTTTCCCTTAATTAATCATAATGAGTGAAATGACTGACTCGTGGTGTAATAATAATAATGAACACTCGATAAATGTACAACTTTGTCAACAGAATTGTGTCCATGCAATGTAACGTGCTTTTCGCCAATTATCTGAGAGCAGGTGTAATATCAACACCATCCTCTCTACCTGCCTCACCTGGTTGAATGCTCTGGGAAATATACTTTCCTGTCGGTAACACAACCGTTGGGTTCAAAGGTCAGTAGGAATATTAACGTTAAGTTTTATTCACAAATCGTCGTAAATCCACTAACGGAAATTCTCATGGTGAGGGTGGGTGGTGGAGGTTTTCGTGCACGATCCCCCCGAGTAACTAAAGGTGGAAATGTTAAAAAACCGTTAAATTTCGCACAACCCCGAACCAAAAGAGTAATAACCCGAATTAAGGTTATTAATCTCCGGTTGTAAAATGTGTTTTCTGTACAAATTAGGCTGTTGTACAGAAGTTATGCCGGGAACGTTTGGGAGACTTCTGAAGATAATTTCTGGCCTAGTAATGAGAAATTTGCGTGCGGATGTTGAGGGCGGTGGAGCCTTATATATATCGACGCTTAGACCAGCCGAAATTATCCCCGAGATGTTTTAAAAGGATCGTAATTATCGTATTTAATCCGTAGATTAGCTAATTATCCGGAGAATATAAGAAATATAAATAGAAGAAGAAAGTTTTGAGAAGAGAATCGACATTTGCTAACCATCAATCCAGGATGGAATGGATGGACGAATGCAGAGAAGAGAAGGAAACAGAAGGAAAGGCCATCAGAGCGGGCCGGTACCAGCCAGAGGCAGTAACAAAACGTTTGTTCTAAGCTAAAGAGGAACCGATCAGTTCAGAGATGACTGCTGATGCAGAAGAAGAAGCTCTATGGTAACGACCGGCTAGTGTTACCATAGCAACGGGCACGTGTAGTCTCGTTAATAATGGCCGCTGTGCAAGAAGACTCTTCGCATGGCACGCAATGGTTCTTTCGGGGAGGAAGAGCAATCTGCCACGAACTAGGGAGGTATAGAGGAAACCCGTTTCACAGAATTCGATCCGACTCGGTAATAAAAAGAGACAATGTCACCTAGATGTCGTCGATCTATCAGACACTCTGTGCACCACATTAATTTTCGCTCGGTCAAGATGGCGGGTTGGGTCTCGATCAATAAATGTGTGCTTACTACTAATATGCCTTCCTTTGCCGCAGTTACTCTCGGAGAAGGCGGACTTTAAACCTCTACATAAAACACACCTGTGTCAAGTCGGATTTAATGGCGTCTTTTTGCCCGCTTTGACCTCTTAAGTTCGAACGACTCGGAATAAAAATCTTACAACTGCGATTTTTTTACGGCCCCGAAACTTATTCGAGCTGAATGGAGACAAATCGAAAAAAGGGGGCAAAAAGAGAAAACGTTGGATAAATTAAGGATAAATTATTCTCCCTTTATGAATGGCGTCGGGCCCGAGTCGTCGTAAAGAGCCAAACTGCTGCCGACAACAATTATTAACAATTCGGGAATTTTCCTTTTAAAAACTTTTCTACATAAATTACTTTTAAAACGAGATTTTGCTCATTAGGATCCCCATTATTGCCAGCAGCGGCTCTTCCAAACGAGCACCAAAAAATACCGAATATTCCGATATTCACATTTATAAAAATTGATTGCTACAAAATGGATCCATCCGAAATTCATAATTTAATTCGTTTTTTTTTTTTATTTTTTCTTTATTTCTTCGTCCGAAAAACAAACGAAAATCAATTTGATAATTTCCAAAGATGCACACACGCACACACACACACGTGTGAGTCAACATAGAAATTTACACATCCAAGTAAATTTTAATGTTAGCAAATGTAAAATCAATCATAAACGGATTCGGATTAATTAAGCTAAAAGCTTTGATTGGATTAAAAAATAAAGGGGGGGAAGAACAAGAAAGATATGATTCAATAAAAGCCGAAAAGTTTTTTAGTATCATTAAATGCTTAATTGAATAATGCATTTTTTCCATTTATTCTCCGCCAGTTAAAACAATTTTTTGAGATAATTTCATTAGTAAAAATCAATGCCGCCACTGCTATGTGTCTTCGATAGCATTTTCAAATTGCTGTTCGCGTGGGGAGGAGGAGGAGGAGGAGGAGGATGGAGGAAGGAGGAAGAGAAGAAGAAAGCTCGGGATTTAGATATATGTAATATATGTTTTTTTTTTTTAAACCAGAAAACTGTAAAAATAGATAATTTTGAAAATCATCCCGTGTTCGAAAATTCTCAAAATGGCATAAGTTCTGTAGGGAATGTCTGTAAAGGAAGGTGTAAGGTTTATAAACATCATTCAGTCAATCTTACCATTCAAGTAAATATTAAATACTCGAATTGTTTATTAACAAAAACGACAGAATTACATGTCTAGAGAAAACAGCATAAATGGCATAGTTTTCTTTGACACTTTTTGGCTGTATTTTTTTTTCTTAGAACAAACTTTCTTTTTTTTTTTCTTTTTTTATTACCCAAATTGAAGATTGCTTATGAGGTGTGTACAGAAAATACAATTGAAAGTTAGAGAATCATCTTTTTATCTGCAAAGAATACAGGTACTTATCCAGCCAATGAGAGGAACTTCGTTTAAGTGACGACTTTGTCGACGTCACATTCGCTACTGTACTGAAATAAAGAGTCCACACCATTTTATAGTTCTCACATCTGACAGTTTATTACATAGCTTAAAGCAGACTACATGAGCCATGGTGTAAAAACCTAGAATTTCTCAACCGATATACCAAAAATAGCCCTGCATAATATGTTTATATAAAACAATGTCTACTACTACTGAATTCATACAACTGAGATTTAGATGATATAACAGGCAGTCTTTTTAGACTGTGACCTAAAATAATGAAAAAGCCATTAGTTTATATTTCATTATTGAGTTTTTCTTTTCTTTTTTTTTTTTGAGTCTATTTGGCCTCTGTAGTTATGTTTGAGGAACCAAACTGTTATAGGAAACAACAAAGGGCGGAAACAGAATCCGGGTTGATTGTTCCGGATTTACTTTTTAGGTAAAAATACTGAGTGAGACAGCAAGGCCATAATGTTTTTTTGGAACCAGAATAATAGGAATGTTGTTTTTTTTTTAGGAATAATTCAGGCTCACACAGTCCATAGTAGACTAACTTACTGTAGTGTTATTTGTTGATCTACCCACAGGTTTAAAAAAATTTCAAACTCAAAGCTTAGGGGCTTCAATACACTGAGGCAGCCCTAAATAGTTCTCTGACACATACATATGTACATGTAGGACACAAGAATATACGCACAATGTATATACCACTGGTGCCATCAAAACAACCCAAAACAATAACCGAATTACTAAGTGGGTCCAAGCATTTCATAGGAACTTCGAATGCAGTATGAGGTAGAGGAAAACATGTCTACTTTGCAAGGACCACTGGTGGTGTTTTTTATGTATGTGTGATATCCTTTCTGTCGCCTCTGCTAGACAGTCATCTTGCTTAACTCTTTCGACAGATCCAGACTTACACTCCCGCAGTTGTCTCTGATTGTTGATATCTTTTTTTTTTTTATTCAGGAACTATGGATTAACAGGAAAAATAGTTTTTCGCCTCACGGTTCAAAACAGTGAAATTGGCCTTCCTTTGGTCAATATCTGTGCTTTTTTGGGTTTTTTCATTTGTACTTCTTCTAGTACCAGTTCCTTGTGCAAAGTTCCCAAGTCCTCTCGCCGCTTGACAGTGTAGGATAGTACAGATTGCACAGACCCAGACTTTGAAGACGTTTGTGTACAGCCACATTGTACACAAGAATACAAACTATTAGGAAAAAACTATGCACCATCTTTTATTCTCGCATTCATTCCTCTCTTTCTCTCTTTCTTTCGAAAAACCACAGACTAGTTGCCGATGTTTAGAGCCAAATTGCACCAAAATCGTTCAGCTTAAAAGCGAATCCACTCATCCACCAAAACAATAACTCGATATTACATTCAAGTGATCGAATAACAACGTAGAAAACCATCCTAATAACTAGAAAATAATGATTCCTCTAACAGATGCAACGAAGCACGTGACAGAGAATGAAAACTGATTGTAAACAAGATTATTTTTGCCTTTATATAAAATATTTGGGGCTTAGATATAAAAAGTTGTCGATTGGAAATACGAAGGAACACAAAGAGCATCTAACTAACTGTGGAAATGATTCTCTGCCCGTGCGCTAGAACTAAATACTACATAACAACGAGTCAAAAACCTTACATATGAGCGATAATTAGCCCGTACTTGTACAAACTGTATAGAATTAGACGAAATTGAATCTCGCACAGCATTCTGTCATACTTAGCCCACTTGAGTGAAAAGACCTCCGAAATCACAGAATCGATGCTGGAAGGCCTGTTGAGAGACGCAACCCTTCTCAATGTAGTTTCACTTCGAACTGTGGGATTAATTGGAGTGCAAGACTGAAGGCGTCCCAGAACCATTCTCCATCTGTCTTCACACAAAATAGGAACTGGAAAACACCCCTTCCTCATGGGGTGGTCTAGATGGTAAGTTGCTTTTGGTGAGCACACTTGGTATAAAATCGTGGGCGTGACATCGGTGGGGTGTCGTCATTCGAATCTCGGCTCCTCCAAAAATATAGTGTGATCGGAATGAACGGCACCCCCCCTCCACTCACAGAGCGCGGTTTCCATACAATGAAAGGGAGAAATATGACAATACGATTTGAATAACAGAAACCAACACATCAAGCACATTCTCTTCTGGATTTTTATCATGTAATTTTCACTACCATTTAAATCCCCCCGTCCCAGTTTAGCCTGAGCAGTCAGTCTTGGCAAACCTTGGCAGTGAGCATCCCATTGTTGGCTTGGTTGTAAAACGCGTAGCCACCTTACTGCAGGAGATGTTATAGTGCTTGTTTTAAATGATGGAAGATAGCTTTCATCCTTTTTTTTTTAACCCCTTGTGACCATGGGATCTATCATACAATCTAATGTAACTTATCTAGCGAGGCTCTAGGTGGCAAGCTATCACATATACACCAATAATCATACTGAACAATTAAGTTACAAATATAGACGACATAACTAAACTTCCACTTGGAGTGGTAGTATACTCCTATACATCTGGACACATCTACCAATGTTCGAGTTATCAGCAACAAGCTGTTCATCTATATTTTTTACTTAAATATCTGTTTTATCTCTTGCTGCCATACGTGCACTTGACAAGACACATAGATTATGTAGAGAACATCAATAAAACGTGCTAGGATAAATCTCTTCGATGTAGAAAAAACGCAGGAACTTGGTTAGTTAAGCTGTCCAACCTGGGATCCACTGGCTGTGAAAACGGTGTCAGGAACATCAGTTTATCAAAACCTACGTGGCAAAGTTGCCACCAATGATAAATAGGCTAACGTATTATAAAATACTAGCCATTTTCATGCAATCTAACACGGTTGCTCAGGTAGAACTTAGCTTAGTCATGCCATAACTTGCCCATCATAACGTGGCTTAATCTCCTCGAATAGGATCCTGCCAACAGTGTAGTAAGTTTTCGGCAGGGTGGTTGTTTAGTTACCTACAATAGGACATATACAACGTAGAGATATCTACTTCTCTGCGGAAAGAATAGTTTGCAGTATTCCAACATGGACGACGATCTATGTCAAGTCGAGAGCGTAATCGTCTCAACACCTTTCACATACAACAATTAGTTTGATTCGCGAGGTCTTATTTACAAAAACTTCAGAAAAAAGTGAAAAAATTTCATAAAAAGATTTTTTTCATTTTTTAAGACTTAAGTTTCATTGTCCATAATTAGGAACAGGTTTACGCCTACCCTGCCGAGGAAACTATGTCAGGAATACGGAGATATCAGCCACTTATTTTAGGAATTTTTACGAAAGCTCGGAAACACGATGTCTCCCAGCACACAGCAAATAAAACTACCACTACAACAAACTTCATAAAATGGCACATGCATGACAACTATAATTTTTTTGTGCTTATTCCAGCTAATCTAGTTTAGGAAACTTGTGGCGTGAGCCAAGATTAAAGGGACAGAAGAAAGGATTCTGTTCCCTGTATGAAGGTCATACCTAAATACATGTCCATAAATTGTACGTGTGATTTGAATCCAAAGTCTTTAAAGACTAGTTTCTTGTCTTTCTTTCTTATGCAAAAACAATAAATAACTTTCACATAATCTTTGCGATGAAATGACAAACAATACGTAGTCTATCTTTTTTGTTTTTTTAAAGTGGGAGGAAAAGGAATACATTATTGCCTAAAGACAAACTTTCATCTTAGTTAAAGCCTCTTAGTTTCTGGACTGAAGGAGGCATCACCTGAGTTACAGATCCCAGCTTTAGAAAGCATGCGATCAGATACGGGAATGTTCACTGAATGGGATTCTTGTCCTTGCTCCACCATCATATTGTCCAATGCCACTTGTGCATCTAGTCTGTCCTGTTGAAAAATGGGTGAGGTGCAGTTGATCGGATTCGATTCTGAGCAGTTGATTTGCGGTTGATTCGTTGATGGTATAAGAAACGGTGATTCTATTGCTGGTGACTGAATGGATGCAGTTCCTCCTTGAGTAGGAGAAGTGGATGCTAAAGATCCTCCTAGTGCAGGATGAAGGCCTCTCAACGTCGAACATCCTCTCAAAGAAGAAAGAGGAAGAGATGAAGAGGGTTCTCTTATCGCTAGAGGAACGTTTGCAGGAGATGCTTCTAAAACAGAATGAATAGATGTTGATGGTCCGAGAACAGACGTGTTAGATGACACTGGAGGAATTGGAATATTCTCCCTCTGTAACCGTTTTACGTGTCGATCAAGGTTGCAATGGAATCGCAAGTCCATGATTGTGGTGAAGCGTTCTCGACATGCACCACATTCCAATTGGATTTGCACTAACTTCAACATGGCTTTAATGTCCCCGGCTACCTTGGTGACAAAACAAGACGACTTTTGATGATTAAGACACAGGACTTCAGACGGGAAAACCATCTGACATTTCTTGCAAACGAACCCAATGTCGACATCTGCTTCATTGATATGCTGCATGTCGACTTCGGACAACAATTGTTTGGAATCTTCTAAACTTTTACCATCTTGATAGAACCTCACTGTGCTGTTACCAGGTTGCGTCATTTGCTGAGTCACCTCAGGTAGAGCCGTCGGAGGGAGATGTAGCAGGGACAACGGTGTACTGTACATGTTCGAATCGTACAGATATCCACTCTGTGGCGTTCCTATAAAAGAAATCAATATTTATAACAAGTCAATATATTAAAAAATTACCTACAATTTAAAATTGACAACAGTTTATTAACAAACTTGAACCCTCTCATAGGACATCGTCCTTCGAAAGATGAACCCGATAAACCATTGAAACAAGACAACAATAACACGTCAACCGTGATCCATGACAACATTGAATGAAAATGCTGTGTTTTCCAATGCTGTCAGTTAGTGAAAGGGTAGACTTGGATATTGTCTGATGTCACGATAGATTGTCTCCCACAACTCGGGTGATAAAAGTGAGCGGAAACCATGTCACCTGAAGATGCTGCACGCAACTGACAGTTCTAGTAAAGTGGAGAGAGATCACGTTTCTTTTAATTCGATTCAGAGGAGCAATGCTTCTTTTCGATTTCAATTACCCAACAACATTTTTTTTCCTTCTTTGCGCCAACATCCAAATCTACTCTACAACTTTTACTTTAATCGCTTTAAAGTATATTTCTCTTCTTATAATTTCTAAATTTAATTACCAATGATAAACGAAACACAGACAATTAAAATTACCATACTTCTGAACATTTCAAAATTATGCCTTAAAAAAATAACTGACAATAAAGCATAAAAAAGATTAGTTTATCGCGTTTGACTCAATTTATACGACCATGTTTAATGTCAAAGATGAAATTAAAGTAAAATCCCAATGGACGTGTGACCTGGCGACCGAATTGGAAAGAAACTCGACAAATACTACAAAGATATATGAGATGGGACTTTTTGGATAGAAACAAATTATTTCAAACTTTCATTCAAGTACACACATAGGAAATAATAAAGTATAATGTTCGCTAGACGAATAGCGCATGCTAATGATATTTCCTCTCTTGGGTAATTGCCCCACAGTCAGGACCAGAAGAGGAGGGGAAGGCAAAAAAAAAAAACTCTTTTCTTGTGATAAGCTAATTTACATATTTAATGTTTTTAGCAGAGTTTTTTTTTTCATATATATATACATTATAAATTTCCACAGTTTTTTTTGTGCAAAGTTATTAGAAATATTTTAATAATATTGATTTAATTTGAAAACATAAGAATCTCTAGTACAACTGTAAAATGGATTCCACCTCTAGAAGATTAGGGCAGTAATGTCCGTACCGTTGCACGGCTAAAATCTCATTTATTTTATAGCGTCTTGTGTCTGGGGCATCTGTTAAACGTGGGCAGTAATGTCCCCTTCTCCCGGAACAGTCAGCTTACTGGAAGAAATTGGGTTGTGTAATTTTTACACGGCTTTTTGAAGAAAAAAGTGGTGACTTTCTAACTCGATACAGATGTAGTATTTTATAGTGTCTCTTAGACCGGTCAATCGATGCTTTGTTAAGGAATAAATAATACGATAACTCAGAGACGAGAAGAGCAGTTAATGGATGCAGAAAAGATCTAATCTATCCACTCTCTTCGAATAAACACCGAGTAATTATTTAGTGGACGAAAGTAAATGTTAGCTAAATTCAAATTTATATATAAAAGAGAAAAACATGTAAAAATTTTAAAGAATACTCTTTAACTTTTAACACTTAAATGACGTTCGTCAGTCGGGGGTTCGTAGTTTAAAAGCAGTCTTTAAATTGTTCAAGCTCTCCTTAATGCAAAAGAAGAGTCGAGTTTAATTTAGAATGAACCAGATGCATTAAAGCTCGTGCGAGCCATGCAAATAGAAAAATAACAAATAAAAATCGACTTTTAAGGAATTCTGTTTTCCTGCATTAGTTTTCTAAATGATCTTACTACGAAAGAATGTAGGAAAAGTTTTAGTAGATTTTCTACTATGTCCGTCAATTACAGTCCACAGCTTCGCAGGAAGGACAAAAGAAGTTTCATTAGTGTTTTCCTTTTAGTGGGGTTGTGTGGTGTCACCAGACATCTGTAGTACGTGGTGTTCAATTTTCTCTACCTTCTAAAGCTGTTTCATTCAGAGACGTGAAAAGAAAGGGGCTCTATTGACGACTACAAGGGGGGCTCGAATGACCAGAAAAACTCCCACTGGCCAAGTCTTTTTCTAAGCTTGGATGTCGGATATTCTCCAAGCTCTGAAAATCAGTTTTTGTTGTGACCGCGCATGCAAGAGCAAACCAATACAATTAACTAAAGTTTTTTTTTTTTTCCTACTTAAATCGAACCCGATCTGAATTTATCTTTGCTTATCCTCTAGTATATAACTAAATACTTCGCAAAGGCTAATCAATGTATTGATAGAACAGTTAGTGTAAAGATTTTTTGGGGACAAGTTAGGTAATGTATGTTTGCTAGACTTTAATGGACTCATTATCTGGCAAGGAGATTCAGAAGCAGAATACAGAACAAAGACTGTAAAGAAAAAATAAATCTTCATCCATCAACAGCCAGCGATACCCAGTAATGCACGTCAACCACCTATGTGGGTGATTATCCGTTTAGTGACACCTATAGGAAATTTCCTTTTCTAGATGATCTGAGAGGACGGAAATCATTCTGACTAAAATGTAGATTAGGGTTCGATACCAACTGCTATCTTCCTTCGCCATCGTCCGTCTTGATTTCACTTCAAAAACCAAATGGAAAAACGGTTAACCATTGAAATATCGATTGGAAAATAAAAGAAGAAAAGCAGCTGCACATATGTCGTCGGACACGGTTTACTTTTTTTATTTATAATTTTCGGCCTTTAATTTATTTTCAAATTTTAAGAGAGAAACGAGAGAAAAATAATATGGACTAAGATTTAAAAAAAAAAATATCAATTTGATACATGCAGAGAAGGTTAAAATAGAAAAAGAAGAGGGCATAATATCCATATGTGTTGCTATAAACAATAATTAGGTTGTACAACTGATCAAATCTCGTTGTCTTCAAACTCACCAATCATTTCTCATCCATCTTGTCAAGAGTACAATAGGACCTACGCAAGTCACACTTGAATGTTCCGCAGGTGAATAAGCCCCGAGGCCAGGTCCGTCCCTCTACCAACCCCGTGGGTCTAAACTGTTAGGACACCGTATGCTCAAGATGGATTTACTAGATCAAAGGGTTAATAAGACAGGTCATGGGCTGTACAACTAATGTGCAGACTACCTTGTTATTAACGGCGTCATGTGGTTGATTCTGTATTCATGACAAAGCCAAGCCCCGGGACTTTGGTGGGTACGGCCTGGTCTGTCTACACCTGTAATGAGAAGAGAGCCGAGCTGCTAACGGATTAGTTCAACGAGATAAAACGTCATTCAACTTGAAGCCTAGACGGGCCCAATACGGTACTTAAGTGTTTAGAAAGAATATTATTTTTTAAAGGCTCTCTACTTTTATTATTTTAACCCCTTAAAGTGGAATTTTAAAGTCGCTAAGATCTTCTTAATTTTCTCCCGACCCTTTAATATAAGCTTCTACGACGTTTCATACACGGCCGCCACAGCCGCCACTTTGATCAATACCCTTTTGTCTGATAAAGATAACCGATATTATACAGTATATGAAGCGTCAATCTGTAGCATTATCTAACTTGGCAAGGAATCTATGTAAAATGCCCTGGGTTTTCAAATACAGAAAATAATTATACCTTGTCATCGCTGGCCTATCCATCTTTCTACGTTTCCTTTTACCATGCAGACCTTTAACGATAACTAAACTTGTTGGTTTATAATAACTATACTTATAATATAATTAATAAATTAAGATTTTTCTTCCACCGCATCCGCAATTTTTTATAAAGACAATACTTATCTGCAATCGAATCTCGTCCGACGATATTATTATTATTTATTTATTGTGAAATTTAAGCAGTTTTTTTTAAAGGATATTGTTATATACGTCGGTGGCGATTTTCATTTGGTTCGTAGAAAGTTTTTATTATTAAGAAGAGAGTGTTTTGAAGAAGAAAGAAGGACATGCAAGATAGCGTGTGTGGCGCATTGCCCGTTCATCCATAATGAAGCCGGATGCTTTCTCCAACCACAGAAGGTGTCAGCCATTAATGTAATAATTGCAACTGACTGAGTGTGCGCATCGGAGCCAGTTATGACTGCAGAAGGAAGGATCAATGGAAGCTTGAATAATGAGACTTTAGTAAACAACAATAACTGGCAGTCAGAAAGAGCGACGGTCGATATGCACTAAAAACCGACCGACAATAATATTGCCTCTTGATGTAGCAGGCAAGATTCCATCTGTCATTCTCAATATGGAGCTTCACTTTAATAGGCATTCGGTGACATGTATGAGGCTTGTAAATTGGCGTCTTTATACTGTTTTTATTATAAATTATTGCCTCCAACGAAGAATATCTTTATGTTAGTGTTTTTGGATGAATGGCGTGGAATTATTTTCTGATTTGGAAATTTATTATATTTGTTTTCTAAAATAAACTAAATTGATATATTTTTTTTTTTTATGTATTATAAGGAATCTTCCTTCTCGAGTTTTGAAAGAACCAATTTGAAAGTTCAAATAAAGGAAATTTTTCTAGTAAAACAACAACTTTATGGATCGACCCGTCTATGTAAAGAAAGAAGGATAATGGAAAAGAGTCGACGTCAGCCATGAACTCCGCCGAGCGGAAAATATGCTCGCTATCTAATCAGATCGCCATTTTATTCCTTAATTAGCTAGCAAAGTACGAAACAAACATTCCACTTTCTTGTTCCTTCTCGCAGAGTACAAGGATCACGGAGAAGTGAGGCGCAAGAGTCGGCTGCACGAATATGTATTAGCTGCAATTTGCTCCCCACTCAAGCGACATTTTACTGGAAGACACTTTGGGGAGCATCGTGTCACTAACAGAGACGTTCCCGTCCCCCCTTTTCTCCCCATTCCCTCTGTATTGATTCCTTGAGTAAGTTAGAAAACTGTCATTATGTCGACGATAATGTTAGAAAGGATTCAGAGAATCTTCGGAGAGAAAGTGTTCGCCCTTGTCCAGTCAACTTCACTTCTCGAAATGGATCCAAATGGCAAAATAAGATATCTCTGCCTGTCTCTT